GGTCGTGCCCTTAGCTCTCTGGACAGAGGTGAGCACCTGACCTCAGAGTGAGCCTACTGCTAGCAGCCAAGCCGTTACACACTCCAAAGGGCAATGATGGAGCCAATCAGGTAGCTTTCCTCCGAGTTGGGGCGGAGCGATTGGCTGTGCATCCGTGTAATCAAAAGAGCGCAACCACCACTTAGCTGGGCGGATCCAGCACCTCCACCCACCCACCCACCTCGTGGCTACTACCCATCACCTGTACCCAGTGGGCGCCGGGGTTCCTACCCAAGGTGAAAGCACTTGCCTCCATCCAAAAAAAAAAAAATCAAACAAACTCATTGCCGTCCAATCGATACTGACTCAGAGCGACCCCATGTGGGGCCGGGTATGACTGCCCCTGGGAGGGTAACTGACGGGGCGCGGAAAGACCCGTCTTTCTCCTGGCATCGAACTGCTGACCTTGTGATCACAGCCCGACTGGAACCACTACGCCACCAGCCAACACACAAGCCCACCATGTTTAAACCTCTTAAAATTGTGGATTGGGTGAAAGCGAATACACTTGATTACAGCTCATTGACGGCAGACATCCCACGCTCGCCCCCACCCCCATGTCACATTACATCCTGTTTCCTGTGTCTCCTGTCTCCATCCCCCCGCCTTCCCTAGCCCACCGAGCTTTGTCTGGGTCTCGGCTGAAGATTCCCAGTGCAGCTAGCTGTCCGCTCTTACAGGCCCGTCCATAGTTTGGCTGGAAATTGAGCCGCGGCCGAGTTCACTTCAAACCTGAGGAAGGGTCACAGCGTCCTAGGCATAGGCTCTTAATCTCTCTCTAGGCTGGTCTTTTTTTTTTTTTTTTTTAAGTCAAAGTGCTTGATAGTTGTTTGTTTGTTTGTTTTAATTTTTAAAGGATCTTTCTGCTGGCAACTGTTCCTGGTGCTGTTAAGAATATTTAAATAAATACTTAATATTTTATAGTCCCAACATGTGGAGACATTTCTGATGAATGATTTCTAAATACAAATTTTAGCACATCTAGCACTGATGAGTTGGGGAACAGATAGCTATGATGACTGTATAACCCCACCGGAAGGGAACGGATATCAGAATGTAAGGAGACTGGATACATGGCATAGTGTACGCTAATAAATAAATAATAATATATTAAATTCGGGGGGAGGGATAAATGGGGAGCTGATGTCAAGGAGTTCAAGAAGAAAAGACAAAGTATTGGAAATGAAAATGGGGGTAGCAATTGTACAATGATGCTTGATCTAATGGAACTATGGATTATTATATCTGCAAGAGCTCCTAATGAAATGTTTTTAAAACAGAAAGAACTTTGCATACAAGCCAGTCTTGCATACGTGTGGATATAATATCGGGTGTAAGTGCATACGATGACCCAGCGGAGGTCTTGAATCAATAAGAATGTATTCACTGGCAGTTTCAGAAGCGCACACAGACACCCTCAAGTTCAAGCTCAGACACTCCCATGAAGTCCGCCTCACTCCATAAGACAGGGCAGCATTGTCCCGTGGGTTTTCCACACTGTCACTCTTTATGGAGTGGAAAGCCTATTCTTTCTCCCGAGGAGCAGCTGGTGGTTTCAAACTGCTGGCCCTGAGGTTGGCAGACGAACATGTAAACCACTCACCCACTGTGGCTCCTGCTAGAAGTCTGCATTCAGGGCACCAGCTACGGGGAAGGCTCTCTCGCTCTGTCATTTCACAGTTCAGGAGGAAAATCCTTGTCGCTTTTCAGCACCCATGGGCCCAGCATCCGTGGAGATCTCCATGCATCTTGGATCTAGCAGGTTCTTAGCACAGGGACCCTGGATTCAAAGGATACACTCTGACCTTGGCTCTTCTTTCTTAGTGACAGCAAGGCCGCTCTCTCTGATCAGTTCTCTCTCTGTCCACCTCCTGTAAGATGGCAGATAGTACAGACTGCCCACTACATCAGACCAGGGCTGTGCCCAGAGTAAGACAATTGTATCCTGCCCTAATCCTAATCCCCTAAAACCGATCACATCAGCTCTCACACGGAGGATGAGTACAGCACTGAATAACGCTGAACCACTGAGCATCACAGGCCGGCCAAGTTAACACTTACTGATTGAGGGGTGGGGGTGGCCAGGCCAGGATGACTCAATTCAACCTGTGACACTGGCGGAGGTCGTGCAAGAGACCAAAGGCAGTTTCATAGTTTGTGTATAACTCGAAACACTTGTTTATGCATCTTATCCCTGTGTTTTCGATTACGAGGGCAAATTGATTTTAGAATTGTCATCCTCGTCAATAAGGAAGCTTCCCCGAAAAATACTAGGCTTTTCTTTGGCGTAGGACGATCTTGTATGGATCTTGTATGTTTCGTTTCTATCCTTCTGTGGCTGTTTGTTGGTTTTCAGAGCCAGAAATGCTTAGCTCTGCGAGGAATTCTAATAGCATAGCTCTGTTGCACCCTCCCAGGGTCTGCCTTGCATATACCGTGCTTGCCTGACGGACCCCACTGCCTGAGCTCTGCTGTTGTGGCTGGAGACTTGATATGTGTGCAGGGATGTGGTCCGGGCGTGGATGGACCCCACACCTGCCCCACGTGGAGTTCCCCTCTCTCTCAGAGTCACCACCGCTGCTGTGTCAGCTGCTGCTGCTACTGCCACCAGCAGTACTGCCCACGTGGGCCCAGAGCCTGACTTGGCCATCCCTTTACAGCCCCACAGCATCCTGGACTGTTCCAGGTGACAAGTCAACGGCTCAGCGCCCATGCTGCGCCCTGCCTTGCCTGCTGGCCTGAGCCCCCTCCTTGACACCTGGTGACTCTCCTACACACACACACATGCACGCACGCACGCACGCACGCACGCATATGCACTCACTGTCCCACGGGACTCCACGTACTTAACAACATGGTGGTTCTGTATATAAATTCAACATCCACACTCATTGCCAACCAGCCGATTCGGATTCTTTGTGATCCAGTGTTGTTAGATGCCAAGAGTCGATGCTGCCTCCCAGTGCCACTGTGCGGTTGCTAGGTAGCAGCGAACATGTTCTGACCCAGAGCCACCCCATGTGTAACAGAGAGGCTGACAGGCCCCGGGGCATCCTCAGAGTTGTGCTATAGTGGAGCCCACTGGGGCAACCACTGTGTCAGTCCCGCTCCTGAGGGTCTTCCACCTTTCCCAACCCTCTCCTTCACCAAGCATGCTGTCCTTCTCCAGGGACGGAGCCTCCTGCGGGCCTGGCCGCAGTCCGTGAGGCCATGTCTCACCACTGTCTCTTCCCCGTGCTGAAGCGCCTTCTGGCTGTGCTTCTGCCAACACGGAGTGACCCTCCACGCCAGCGGTTCTCAACCTGTGGGCCGAGACCCCTTTGGGGGTCAAACGACCCTTTCACAGGGGTCACCTAAGACCATCAGAAAACACATATTTCTGATGGTCTTAGGAACCGAGACACCGCTCCTCTATCTGTCTCCAGGCGGGTCCTCCCACATGCAGATATGCCCACTTACGAGTAGTAACCGGCATGAAGACTGTTACCCACGCTACACCATTCTTCAAGACAAAATTTCATTTATTTGTTATTAGAAATAAATATTTCACAATAAAGAATTACATATTGTTTTT